CAGGAGTTGGAGGTTGCTGTGAGCTGTAATGCCACGGCACTCTGCCCAGGGGGATAGCTTGAGGCCCTGTCTCAAAAAAAAAAAAAAAAATTAAAGATGATCTTGAAGTTACGTGCTAATTTATACTTAGAAGGTAAAATACAGGTTGGTGAAGAACTTAAGGTAGATAGGAAGCAGAGGATTATCAAAGATGACAACTCCATCTGTATTTCTGACTCACATAACCAGATGAATTTTATGTCCATTCACTCAAATAAGAAATAGTGGGAGAGAACCAGGGCTAAGTGGTGACCCTGCATTCAGTGTTTTTAGTATGCTGAACGTGCAGTGTCTTCCAGTGGGTCTGGGCAAGAGAATCCATTCTGGAATTGGCCTGGAAGATGGTGAGTGGATTCATGGATGGGTAAACAGCAAAAGAAGGCAGGTAGAGGAGTCCAGGAGACTTAAAAAGTTAGAGATGTCAGAAGAAAACTGGATGGCTGAACTGTAACAGAGTCAATGAAAGAGCTTTCCATGGAGAAGCAGTCAACAGTGATGGTTACTGAAGACATCAAGGACAACGATTTCAAATAGTGGTGGGACCAGTCTTGAGATGCAAGGAGGTGAGGAAATGAAGACATTAAGGCAGCTCTGTCAAAATGCTTGGCTTTGAAGAAAAGACAAGGAAAGAGCAGGTACTGCAGAAGTAGAATGAGAGACAACCATGTTTAAATGTCAGTGGGGACGATCCAGTTCAGAGGAAACAATTGTGCAATTAGATGAGAGAAAATAGATTCCAAAGTACATGTGGAGGGCTTGATTTGGAGGGGGGACTATCTTTTGTGAATTTAACAGGTTAAGGAGAACAGTTATATAGATACAGACAACTCTGTAGATGTGATGGTAGGAAGATAAAGGAATTCACAGTCAACCGTGTTTTCTCTGTGCAGTAAGCGAGTCTGAAGTGCCTGTGGCTGTGGGACACCCAGCTGGCAGGCAGAGTTCAGAAGAAAGGCCTGGCCAGGAGACAGAAATGAAAGCATCCTAAACACAGAAGTAGGAACAACTCTTGGGATTAGAAATCATCTGTAGGTCTTAGCATTAGCCCTGGGGGTGCTGTGTAGCTGAAGTGCAGTGAGGAGGAAGAACATAGGCCATAGACTCCCTACTCGATCTGCTTATCCGTAATTCAGCACTTCTGTGGGGAGCCTGAGACATGGCTGAAAGCTGCAGTGTCCTGTACAACGAAGTTGTCAAGTTTGCTGATTATGTTCCCAGCACACAGGAACCTCAGCAGAGTGTCTTGGCAGGGACAAGGGTCTGAAGCAACAATAACACAAACTCTAAGTCCATTTCCCCTTACCTAAGATAGAATGTGGAAACAATTCTGGGGAGACATATGTGAAGAGAAGAAATACACAGGGCTTATTAGGAGGCCTTATTAGTAGGGTGGGGAGGAAATGGCTCTCAGATTTAATTTTCTCAGAGTCAGTATCTGAGTCTCTCTGTGTCCTATGTTGGGTAGAAAGGACTCTCTGGTGTCGTGCCTGTCAGAGTTGATTCTGTGAGAGAGCCTCCAGTGGTCCCAGGTCCTCCTTCCCCCTGGACTGGTCTTTCAGTGCTGACAGAGAAGATTTGGAAGTTGAGGACTTTTCAATGCCCCAGTCCCTTTCTCTCTTGACCCCCGACCTTGCCCCAGCCCACCCCTCCATAGCATGAAGACAGAAAGCTGCTTTATTGCAATGTCTTTATTGCATTACTGGAGCAAGTTGACCAGACTATCCCCCCTTGGGGAAGGTTAAAAACAAAAAGACCAAAAAGTATCTCCCTCATCTTCCCCCCCTCCCCCACAACTGCACAGCAATATCCGAACACATCTGGTGACAAGAACAATTTGCAAAAGTGGCCTAGGAACTACATTATGAACTGCCCCAACACAAGACATACAGTTGGCTTCCTTGTGAATCAGATATTTTTACGTAAACTACATGAATTCTTTTGACTACATCAAAGACAACAGAATAGGTTTTTCACAAGTAACAACAGGGCACCAAAGTCACATGCTGGAATTTGTAAGGAAACAAGGTGTCACAAAGTGGCTAGAGCTAAAGCAAAGCTGAGCAGCTGGCAGCAGAGAGCCACGTGGACCCTCTGGTTTCTGAGGCCACTCAAGCCTCACAGAGGCCTACTCTAGGGTCTTAATTAGCAACAGGGACACCCTTAGAAACCAGGAATTGCCCATATGCAACTCTTGGATCAAGAGAATACATGGGCTGGTTTCTTGCAGCAAGAAGAGGAAACTCATGGAAGATACCACACTGGCTCTCAAAGCTTCTTCTGAGCATAGGTCCAAGATAGGAGATCCCTTCAAGGTTGGAGAGGGAGGGGTGAAGTGTTGGCCAGATCAGTGGTAGGGACATAGGTAGCCTATCCAGGCCCGAACCACCACCAAGGTTTGACGTCTATAGCCAGGTGGAGACAGAGCATTGTTCTGTGATGAAAGCTCTACCTGGAAAAGATGAGCATAGACCCGTGTCTAGACATCCCCAAGCTGCTTTTATGTTGCTGGCTAGCTTCTCTAGCCAGGAGAGGAGGGGACCCTCTGGTCTTGGTCTATCTCTTTACCTTCTTTCTCTGTAAGACTGCAGTTAAGATGCCAAGAGAGACAGTCCCAGGGCTCAGATGATGGGACAGGACACAGAGCTAGACTCATGAAGGAGGCCACAACCTGTTCCCAAACCATGAAGTAAAGGAGAAGCCTACAAACCCTGCATGCACACCAGGCACGGTGGTTAGCAGACTGGTCCCTATGCCATCTCCATTGACTCAGGATCAAGTAGGTCATATGGCAACTGCATAAAAGATACTTTCCAACTTCTCTCGTGATACCCAGTCTGGGATCCCACAAAGCAACGAATTCAATAATGAAAAACAAAAGAAATTAAAGTGAAGGAACATAACACTGAAAAAAAAAGCAGTCCTCCATAAGCCAGCCCAAGTGTAGATAACTGGTGCTTGGTCTGTCCCCGCACACCCTCCATGTCTGCCCCAATGGGAGGAGGCACATTGTTCAACAATCCAAGCATGTATCCATCTACCAAACTGGTTTATTTTAAAACAGACATTCAAAACACACGAAAATTTTAGTACCAAACAGAAGAGATTCCTTGCACCTAATCTTGACCATCCACCTGCTTACAGAGGTTCAACACCAAGTGGAAAGCATCCAGGTGTCCAGGTGTGCCTAGCAGCAATCAGCCTGCCATTATCCAGGAAAACTTTCAGTAAGATCACTGGCAGTTTGGGAAAGAGATGAGCTGGCTATTAGCCAAGGACTTAAGTCAAAACCATGACTTTGGGGAGGGGGGGGTTTCATTTGTCTGTATTTCACCCAATCTTGAAACTGCAACAAAGCCAAGGAAACGCCAAAAATAACCACTCTCCTTCCTATCCTTATGACTAGTAACGAGGTTTTCCCAAACTTTTTTGTCTATATCTACATCATGGTCTGTATTTTAGAATGTCACCCAGGTTAAGTGATCAGGGAAAGTAATATTTTTCTTCCACCTCTAAAACTAGAGCTTTCCTAGCTGTAAGCCATATGAACCAAGACCCAGGCACTGGCTTCTCTAGCTCAGTCAGGACGTCTGACTGCATAGCTTTGGGCTCAAAGAGCTGACTCACTCTGAGCCTATTATGGTCCCAGGATTGGCTCAGTGGCAGCTGGACTTTGTCAAATGAGTGTTGACTGATGGGTGTGGGACATAATGGAGGCAGGAGTAGATGCCCCCCCCCCATTCCATTTGGCTAGCTTCACTCAGCTGGAAGGCTTAAGCCACATGGAGCAGAAGATTCCTGGCCTAAAACCAATGCCACTGGAGCATGAGGGCAGACTGTGCACATTGCTTTAACGCCAGGATCACAAAAAAAGGCAAAGAAAAAAGCTTGCAGATGGCTTCTGCTAACAGTCTAACTCTGTAAGCCATCTTTTCTCCCTGCAGAAGCTCCAGAAACCACTGTGTGGAAGCATATGTATTATGTGGTACGACCCTCACCCTGGACACCGGGGTCTATGACTTACTGAAGTCCCTGACCGCAGTCTGGCTCCCTTCCTTGGCCACCTATGGCTCCCTAAACCCTATCCAGAAAATGAAGGGGAGATGAAAGGAAATTAAACCCTGTTTACTGTTTCTGCAGGGCCTTTAAACTTGGGGAAGCACAAATTAAGAATGTTGTTCTAGATCATTATTTGGTATATCAAGCCATCTAAAAGCACTGGATTGCACCTTTTCTTTACTCATACAAACAAGTTACAAAGGTTTCAAACAACATATCATTCTTGAGGCTACAGAAACACCACACAAGCACCAACTTCAATTTATGATTCAAAGCTCACCATCCCCACAAAAAACAATGCTATTCCTCATCTCTGAGAAACAAGGACAGACAGAAGGGCTTATACACTGACCAATTTTAGTGTTTACTAAAACTCACAAACTAGTTTTGTTTTTATTTTCAAGTTTTGGTACAGAAGTGTACATTCAGCAACTAGGGCCGTCTTCTCCCATCAGACCTTGGTCTGGCAACAAACATTGTTTTGTTGGTTTCTAAACCTAATGCTTCTTCAAAGGGAAGAAGTGAGATGCTGAAGCCTAAATTATGTTAGTGAAATAAAGTACCTTCACCTGAAGTTTTTTTTCCCCACCTTGCCTTAGATTCTTTAAATGAAATCCCAAGCCTCCCCATTTCCTTTGGTTGTCTTTTTCACCCGCCAATTCCCCTTCTACTACAGAACCTAAACAGCCTCTTTTGAGGGGTGATGAGGAGGAAGAGAGACTGCCATGGCAAAACAGAACTCCTAGCAGAGCCATGCCCCCACTGTGTTCTCAGTGTCAAAGGACAAAAGAGGACATGTCCTCTTCAAAGGCTTCCCAATATAGCTCCCACCCCAGCCCCCCACCAAACCTAGTATGTTCTGTTGAGGGTGCCTGGCTAAACAAAACAAAAACCCCAATGAAATAGACTTTCCAAAAAACAACATCTCCTTCCAGCTTAGTAAGTCAGTGCAGCAACACAGCTGAGTCCCAAAGAACCCCAGGCCCCTAATGCCCTCATGTAGGCCAGTGGCTGTGTGGCCTCTCCACTTCACATTCACAGAATCACTTCTTGTGCAAAACAAGCAGTCTACGTAGAAAGAATGCCCTCATCGTAGTCTAATAAAAACTGTAGGATAAAAGGCTAGAGAGCCACCTCTTCCCACTTCCTCTTTATCTGCAGAGTGAGGGCATCTGTGCATAGACAGGGTAGGTAAGCCTGACATTCAGGGAGTCGTTGTGCTGAACCAGGGATGTCTGCTGGTAATGGAGCACCAGCTCTTTAAGCGAGCTGTACAGGTTGTAGGGCTCTGCAAAGCCATAGCCCCGAGCAGTGCTGTAGATCACACAGTGCTTCACTTCCCCATCAGCGCTGCAATGACACAGGACAGAAGAAAAATGTTAAAGGCAGGTAACACTCCATGCCCAAAGTCTGAGAGCAACAAAGGAGGAACAGATGTGTTCTGTCAATCAAAGCTTGTAAAACAGTTTCTCCCACCTCCTATAAACTTGGCCACATAAATGTAGGATTTCTTTTTTTTTTTTTTT